ACAAAGTCTGGGGACAGGATCAAATCTATTTCAAAATCTGTCAAACCATTTCATCCAGTGAAGAAAGTGAAACACCTCCAACCAGGGTTGCACTGTTTGCTTCGAGACAGGTGCTTTCTTTCCCATCAGTTATTGACAGCATTGTAAATAATTCCACCTTTACTCATGCATAGCTGAAAATCTAAAAAACAGTTAATAAAACAACTAAGTTAGATAAGGATTTTCTTCATTTATATGATAAACATCAATATACACCAAAGCGAAATTTCCATCTTCCCCAAGAGGAGGAACTTCAGAGAAAACAATTATAAGAAAACAAGACACAACCAAAGGATCTTTCAAACATTTTTATTAATTGTGTATTGAGTTATTGATAAATTTCTCCACTTATCCTATTATAAACTTTCTCTACCTACCTGTTAAACATTTACCTAGAAGTAATAAATCTGAGAGATTAAACTCTCCACTATCCCATTTATCTAAATATTGAATACATTTCTTATACTTTCTTCTGATGAGAGCATACCTGCTTCAGAAAACCATGTCCATACTACACCTACTGCAGCTTTACGCCAGTCTCCTCTATGATGTATATACTGAGCTTTCGGCATTAAATACTTACTTACTGCAGCTGGTCAAGGCCATCACCAGCTGTACCTAGTTGAAAGAGGGCTTTGGAGCACCCAGAGAAACAGGGCCTGCAGGGCTGCAATGCACAAGTGATTTGACAGAACGACTGACTGCTGCTAAAAGCTACTTCGAGTCCCCTTTGTACCCTGCCCTGCCAAGGCTTCTCTGCTCAGGAGCTCCGCGCATGCTGTTACCGGAGCATTTTCTGCTGGGACTTTGGGACTTTGCTCCTGAACTGCTCCCGGGCTGGCGGGAGGGCACGGACAGGGGTACGGGCCCCGGTCCACAGGGAAGCAGCTGTGTGGGATGAGGCCTCCGCGAGGCCTCGCGCTCGGCAGCGCCTCCGCTGAGGCGGCGGCCTGCGCAGCACGAACAGCCCTTCCTATAAGGAATCACACTCCACACGCACATGCATACGTGTGTGTATACGGGGGTATATACACACACTGTTCACAACGGACACCTATCAGCCCAAGGCAGTTCAGAATACGCAGCAAATGAGTTTTTGAATCAATTGAAATTCTGGTATCGCCCCAGCTCTGAAATTTTTTAACCTAAAAAAAGAATGGTATCAAGAGGAGCAGTGATCCCAGCTTCTGGCAAATGTTACTGGGAGCAGAAAGGGTGTTTTGTTTAGCAAGGGAGGAAAGGAACATGTTGCAAATGTTGTAAGTGGTTTAATAGCTTTCTCTTTAAAAAAAGAATGAAAACTTATTGTGGAACTGAATCTCTGACAGGAAGAAAAAGTTAAAGCTTTCAAAATGTGGGGGGGGGGGGGGGGAAACAAAAAACAAAAACAAAACTTTCCTCTGAGGATGCAGAGCAGCAGCAAATGAAGCAGGACAGAGGAGCAGACACCAGGGCCCTGGCTCCAGAGGGCAGCCCCGGTGGCACATTCCAGGGCACCGTCTGCCTGCACCTCCCTGGCTTTGCCCAGCGGCTCTCCCCAGCACCCCAGCTTTGTGCTGCCAACGGAAACGCAGCGAGCAGAAGCGCGGGGTTTCCAGCCGAGCGCTGACAGCGTCCTGGCCACACTGAGACAACAGCCGGCCGCAGGGTTTCGGATGAAGCAGGTGGAAACCTCCTAAAATCCATCAGGGTTTTCGAGGACCAAAATTACTCTGGAGGCAACTATAGGAATGAAGTATCCACAAAAGCTTCCAGCTTCCACCTCCAGGAAGGAGCTTGAGATTTAACTATAAATAGACAACAATGAAATATTAATTTAGGGTTAAAGTGATCAAGCCTGCGCAGCTGAGCAGTGAGGCGTCTCAGAACACGGGGCTGGGCACAGCGCTCCAGTAGCCAAGCACACAACACTGCCCGCTCGGGCCAGCATTCCAGCAACACGGAACTGCTCCCGCAAACTCCTGCATGCGTCGGCCCTGGAATGGCGCAGGAGACAGCTGAAGACACCATCTCCTCTGACCTGGAGGGCTACCTAGTGGGCACATGCTCCCAGTATTTTATTTGCATAACATGACAACCAAAGGCAACATAATACATATTTAATGACTCTACCATTCTGTAACTATCATTTTGATCAATCATATTAATAGTATAAATATGGAAAACACATCCCACAACTCCAATAAAGACCTTCTGAACACCTGCCTAGGAAGAAAACAAGTTTTGTCCCAGATGAAATTCATTTGATCTTACTTGCAGGTTAAAATGATCCAAAAAAGCCTCCTCCACTCCAATCATGAGCTAAATTTGAAAGCACAGCATCAGTTTCTGTACAGATAATAAATGACGAGTTGGAAATCTAGTAATGGCCTTAGTGAATCTGCTCATTTCTCTGTTCTGCAGTTCAGATAAGAGGGTATGGAACAGAAGGGCCTCCTTCTTCCCCATCACGTAATGGGCAGAGGGCCAGTTCCTGCCGGTCACTCAAGGGAGCCTCCAGAGCACAGGAAGGCCAGGGCCACTCTGCCACCCAGCTCATTTTGGAGGCCCAGAATCCAGTTACTGACAGTTAGAGCAGCCTCTGCAGCCCTTTACCCACCTTGTCTGATACCAGAGGAGGTTTCAGTCTGGGACGCTGGCGTTCGCGGGGCCACATCTGCCGCAGCCGTCTGAAGGGTGTGAAGGGCAGGAAAGCTGCTGCGTGATCATCAAACACAGACACCCACAAGTTCAGCATAGGCTATGTAATGCTGACAAAGACGTACTCTTTATTGGATAGCTCAGGAAAGAAAGAACTGAAGAGTGTGAGTATCTCTGTATAAAATATATACATATTACATATATAATACACATTGCATACACATATATACACCTCTATAGATATATATTTTAACAGGTTAGCAAGTTAATCCTTACTACTCCCTTAAACTCCAAAGTTCCCTGCACATATTCACCTACTGTGGAATCCCTGGGTGTGAACTGTGTCAAAAATACACAGCACATCGACTAAAGCACAGATGGGGCGAGAAGAACGAGCAGTCAAGTTTTCACTTGAAGAACAAAACAGGTTGGAAAGAGACTGTTCTATAAAACAACGAATGGTTACCTCAGCAGGCAGCATCTGAGCAAACACGAACCTCATTCAATTTATTCATTCAAGAAGGTGATTTAAAAAATAATGCAAAATAATCTTCAAGCAATACAAAATAAACATGTGAAGCTCACTGATACAGGATGTTACACTGCCTAGTATTTGAATCAGAAAGGAACAAAGTTAGTTCATGGAGAGCAGGCCCAGCTTATTAGAAGAGAAGCAACATCCACCTTAGCAAGTGACTAGAGCTGCGGACAGCTGCAATCACCTCTGCTTCAATCGTTCTCTGCCTGGGAGCCCTAGGGAAGAACGACCATTCCTACAGAAACACTGCTGGGTGCTGTTTCTCAGCAAGTCCTGGGTCATTTTTGCCCTGGCTGCCTCAGGAGGCAGGAACAATGCACATTCAAACTCAAGTTATTCCTGGCTTCTGAGCAAAACCAAATATTTGCTTGACATGAAACGCCACACACACAAAAGAGACTGAAAGGTGATAAAAAATAGATTCCTCTGATCTGATTTGTAGTTCTGGTCCAAACGCCAGCATGTCAGCAGTAGCAGAGCCGTGGCCTCAGACAGCAGCGCGGACAGCAAGGACGGCAGGATGTGCAGCCAGAACCACGCAGCTGCGCGCCCGAGACGCGCAGGATCCAGAGCAACGCGGCTGTGATTCTGCTCGCTGTGCTCCAACCCACCAGCGCAGACGGGGATCCCCCAACACGCACAACACATTCACACCGCTACAGCCGAGGGGTAAACACCAGGAAACCAGTTTCTCCCAACACAAAACCCCTAGCTGCAGTCAGGGGTGGGCCAAAAGAAATAAGTTTGTCAGAAAATCTTGTCTCTACTCTACAACCATCATTAGTGCAGGAACAAAACTACAGAGAGAATTGCAAAGTCAGGCAAAGATGAGAGAGATCAAACTTTGAAGTGCGAACAGAAATGCCTGCTCTTACAGTTAAAGCTTCCTAACTGCCACACTGTATTTTAAAGCATTTCAGAAAAATCAGGATTTTTTCCCTATCCTCCTCTAGCTAAAAATACACATTTCTATTTTCTAACTGCTCCTCTCTCTCTTCTCCCCACTTCCACAGTGAACATATTCCAAAACTTGGTCCATCTGCTCTGTCTGGTTAGGAAACAATATATCAACCTCGACCGATTAAAAAATGTTTTTGAAAAAATCAGTCTAAATTCACTCACTGCAAGGCAAAAAAAACTTCTGGTGCTGAAAGACAGTACTTTGTAGGAATAAAACATGCAGCATCACCTTTACCATTTCGTTCTTTTTTAATCCATCACCTTTAATTTTACTTTATCAGACTATCGTAATGTTTACACTTGTGCAAATACTGAACTAGCAGCGCCACCGTCTTCTGTTGTTTTTAAGCAAAGAAAAAGCCAAGTTTATTTTGTAGTAGCAATAGTTTCTTTTTTATTTTTAATATACTTTAGGAAACAATATACAAAGCTGAGCTTTTCCACCATTTTCAAACGGTGGGTTGCTCCAATTACACAAATTCAGCGTTTTGTGATGGTTAAGAACAGCAGTCAGCACCAGACTTAAACAGTTAGCTACAACACAAACATCCTTCGAAATGAAATGTCATAATAGCAAGACAGGTAAACCAGGAGTTAACATATGACAACTGTTGGGGAGGTGTCTTAAATCATCCTTGTTGAATTTTATATTTCATTAAATATTTTATACACAATTTCCTGTTTACAAGTTTTAAACAAAACCTCCCTTGAGGAATTATTTAAGTACAAAAATGTTCAACAAGAACAGTTCTAATAAAGAGTCCCCAAACAGACCAAATTTTAATGTGTTGACCAAAAGGAAATGAAAACCAGTGTTTCTTTGTTTTAACATGTTTATTACAACAGATACAATTCACATCTGACTAGCTTTTTTTTTTTTCCTCTCCTCTTTCCCCTCCCACAACCATGTTAACATGTTCATTGGGCTATTTCCTCATATTTGAGCAAGTAATGTACTTTCAGCACACATGCCCAGCAGTACTATAAGTCCATTCTTACAGGGTGCAAATGGAAATACGTTTCAATAATTTATACAAACAAGTGGGTTATGCTCAATCACTGCAATTTTAAGCTACTGTACACAGGAATGAAAAGATTATAGAAAAAGTGCCATAGCAACAGTGCCTTAAGAAAAGAGAAAATTAGAAGCATTAAAAAAAATGATAAAATCAGATTCAGGATTTCACGGGGAAATGGAACACAGAAAATGAAAAACATTTCTCTGTAAAACAAAAATGGAGAAGCACTGCTCTTGATTCGGTGCAAGTGTGGAAACAGTTGTTTCATGATATTTTGTACATTACCCGAATTGTTGCAGCCTTAGACACAGATCGTCTGGCGCTTGCATTGAATTTTAGGAAATGCAAAATTTCTGAACGATAAATTAACTAAAAAAAGAAAAAAAAAGAAAAAAAGGGGGAAAAAAAAAAGAAAGCTAATTTTGCAGACAGGTTTACATGTAAAAGGCTAGGTATTTAGCCACCTCAGCATTGATTAGTTTTGGATGTCTAAGCTCTGATACACATGGCTTCCCATGGCTTCACTCTACAAAACATATTTACAACGTGAAGAATACATCTACAAGAAATCTACATTTCAAGGGTTTTACAAATCATTCTTGTATCTTTCCCCTGAATTTGACTCCCTCCTGTCCCCTTCCCCATGTCATCTTTTTTTTTCTGCCCAGCTGAACGGTCCAAAGTCTACTCAAATGCAGCTCAAAAGTGTCAAGACTGGGCATCAGTTTAACAGTTCCTTTACTCAAAACCATGTGCAATTATTCACAACTTTTCACACCATGAAGGAATTCTGATTCTTTAGCTTTTCAAGTTCTTTAATTTGTTGTCTCAAAAATAGTATCCTGCAAGAGAAAATAATTAAATTAGTATAAATATTTCCATTACATACAGATACTAAATTCAATATCTATGCAAGTATCTTCAAATTCAGTGAAAGATGCCAAGTTCCTTAGTTCTATCAATAAACTTCAAATTCATTAAATGAACTCCTGATCTGTTAAATCATCTATGCAGGGGCACAGGCCTGTTTTAGAAAATCATGCTGCTGTATTTCATTATGACTGATACACAGTTATGATCAAGGCTACTGGGATTCAAGCAAAAGTGGGACACATGGGAAACACACATTCAGAAACTGAGAAGTCAAAAGGAGGCATTATGCCCATGTTACACAGTGTTCCCCAGCAAAGTGTGAAATAACCCAAAGAACTCAAGTTTCTAACCAAATGTTGCTCTGCCCCCAGCCCCAGCCTCCTCGGTAGTTCAGCAAATTTACATAGGTCAAGATCATGAAAACAAACCCATCTTAATGAGCTTGTTCTTGGAGACAGAATACAACTCGAAGTACATGCCCATCATCTTGCCATTCTTCTATGTATTTCTTCCTCACGTTCTGGAGGATTTTATACTCCCGTAGATCTGGGTAAGCACAGGCGGAAGAGCTGCACATGCTCTTGCTTTCCTAGACCATCAGACCCCACCATAACCTGCCCCTGTCTATTTTAGCTCAGTTCAGCAATACGGTCATTCATATACACAATTCAATATATAATTTGAGTTTTCTCCCTGGCCTAATGCTGTTTTTTCTGGTATTTGGTTCTGTGGTCGGTAAAATAAATAATATTTTACATGTAATCTCTAGTTATAGAGAATGCCAATCTTAACAAAATAGAATAAAAGATGAAAATACATCTGAAGGAAGAAGCTGTCACTACAGCTCCCCTGAAAATAAACTGTACTACTTTCCCTTAGAGTTTTTTTTCTTATTCTACCGATCTGACATAGAGGAGCATTGTAATTAATGAACATTTGGTTTAGTTACTGTTTCCAAAAAATTGTTATGACAATTTTGCAGCAACTATTCATTACGGTGAAGTATAATGAAAGCATGTGAATGAATTAAGGAAACGCCAAGGAAAAGCTGAAACACTAAGCAAATAGTCTGCCAGTCAAAAGTAATTTTAATGTTCAGAGAAAGCATGCATGTCTGCAGATTTTTGTAAAATGTTTTTCAAATATGTGACCAGTTCAGTTAAAAAAAAAAAAAAAAAAAAAAAGTTAATATCCTATTTAAAAGTAGGTGAAAATGCTCTGAACAGACACATTGAAAAACATAATAAAAATCTAAACTTATGAGTGTATGAAACACCAATGCAGAGTGCCAGTTCACACACTGTCAGTAAGGGTTAAAGCAGAACACTTGCTTTGCCCAAATACAAGGTTGCTTCTTAGAACAAATTTAAACAGTTCTCTTTCCTGAAGAGTACAGACACTGTCATCACTTCAGTTTACTAGCTTCCACTATACACAATATTTCCTTCCCTCTCCCATTCAAGCTTGCGGCCTGTACCATATAGTCCATGTCTTCAGGATGGCAGCAAAAACATGGAATGTTTTGCGTTATCACTGATTCAAAGTCAGAACAAACCTTACCAAATGACACTTTAAAGACGATGTACACAAAAAAGTGCTATTTAGCTAGGTGAACAATGATATTTGACCTGTTGCTGCAGAACGGATATGCCTTCAGAGAGTGAAATTAAGCCTTAGCGGGTTTTATTTCATATGTAGAAAACTAAGTAGTACAATAAACCCTTTAATTTGTGTAACTATGGAACAAAATTTTGGAGAGAGCTGATACTTCAGATCCTTTATCACAGAACATTTACAAGTATTTTACAGCCTACTGCTGACTACAGGAATTGTTTTGTGAACTGTCAAAAAGCAACAGCTTCTGAGACGGGATTAGGGATGAACGCTATTTCAACAGCTGCTATTTAAACAGCTGAAGACAGTAAGTGAGAATCCATGAATTCAACAAACCATAGCATGACTTATTAGGCAGGACAAAATCACTCAAAAAGAAAACTGAATATAACAGTAGACTCAGCCTCAAAGTACTGGTGAAAGGTTTCATTATGTATGTAGGGCTTAAGCTTTTCAGTGCTATTAACAATAGTCTTTAACAATGTGGTTGTGTACTGCTGAAGCAGTGTAACAAAAGGCACTCATTTAAAAGGCAGAAATGCACTTTTCCATAATTGTGATCTCACTGAAGAACTCCAAGATCTTCTTGGATGTTTTCTACATAAAAAGATTTTTTTTTTTTAATTTAGCTTGTGATATCAACAAGAACTCTTCAAACTTGTTCTGGCTTTTGATGCAATAAATGGGTCTCATACAAACCACTGCATTTAGGACCAGCGTGTAGATGTGTACCTATGTGACCTATGATGTATGGTGTATGGACATATGCTTCAGATATTCTCAACTACTGTGAGCAGATCAGTTTTCTTTCCTAACATGCTAATGTATCTCAAAAGATACTTCTTTTCTACCCATGTAAGTGAAAATACATGCGCATGTTGCATACCTGGTTCTATTCACTGGAGATTGTCAAGAAGTATCTGCGTGGGAAACAGGTAAATGTACACAGAAAAGGTGGCTTTCATACCTGGTAAGCATTAGCAATACTTGCATTTAGGTCATCAATAAATAAACCTCATGCAGAACAGTACCAGACTGGGAAGTGTATTACCACCTTAGAAGTACCAGTTTGAAAATAAACACAGAGCACAAACCTACCTTTGCTCACGCAAAGTTGCTTGAATTTCACATACTCGAACTAAAGATCTTAAATTCTTTAATTCAGTACAAATTTCTGACATATGAACACTTCCCATGTTGTGGGCTTCCTCACGTAATCTTGATGCCTGCAATAATCAAATTTAAAAGGTATCATTTGGAATTGTACATTAGAAACAGCTTTCTATAGCCAGAGGATTGTTGGACGAGAACATCTTGAAAGAGCAAAGCACTCTAAAAGGGAATATTAAATCCAAATGCATTAAATTCTCTGGGAGGGAAAAAAAAAAAAAAAAAAAAAAAAAAAGAGCTCATTTCGAATCACAGACGCAGACAGCACTGGATGCCAGAAAATCATCTAGCCCAGGTCTGTGCCGAGGCAGGGATGGTTCAGATTTTCAGATTTCCGTGATCCTAACAGATGTTTACTGAACCAACTTGAAGAAAGGAAACTTTCAGCCCTGTCACATGCTAAGAAAGTTGAGTACTTAGAAGCCTCCATCCACATTTTCTAAAAGCTAACTTAAGTTTCTACTGCAAATTAAGCCTTAGTGACAAAAACAATCAAATGACATCTTTTTTCCAACTAAGGTAAACAGAAAATGTTCATAATCCTCTTTGGCTGTTCTTTCTTTGAGACAAACTCCATTTCAATATTCCCACTTAGTCATAGAATCATAGAACACTTAAGGTTGGAAGGGACCTCTAGAGGTCATCTAGTCCAACCCCCCTGCACACGCAGGGTCACCTAGAGCACGTGGCACAGGACTGCGTCCAAGTGGGTTTTGAAGATCTCCAGAGAAGGAGACTCCACAACCTCTCTGGGCAGCCTGTTCCAGTGCTCTGGCACCCTCACCACTAAAAAATTTTTCCTTAACTTCCTGTGGAACTTTTGCTGCTTCAGTTACCTCTAGTTCTGTCGGTGGCCATCAGGGAAAAGAGACCAGCACCATCCTCCTCACTGCCTCCCTTGAGGTACTTATATACACTGATCAGATCCCCTCTCAGCCTTCTCTTCTCCAGGCTGAACAGGCCCAGCTCCCTCAGCCTCTCCTCATAGGGCAGATGTT